TCTCCTCAGCATCTTTGGCTCTGCTCACCAGCACATCAAAAATATCATCTTGAAGAGCAACCACCTGCCTACGTAGCTCGTATCTGAGTCCGAGGGCAAATTTACGGCATCGATCTCTCTCGATAGACACCAGACTAATTCTATACTTTAATAATTTCAAGAACTCTATCTCATACTCTAAAACAAGCATGTCACCCTGAACCAAGTCCTGAAACTATTGTCGTCTCTGAACTAAGTAACGTTCACCCAAGAATCAGCTCCTAAAGCGCTCTTTAAAGAAATCTCACGTCAAACGATCGGTCGAAACACTACTAACCACTGACTCCCACCAGGTGTGTGCATTGCCATCTAACATCGTTACTGCCCCCAAATATCTCTTAGTTAGGTCCAAACCCAACTGATCCATACGTCTCTCAGTATCCTGGATCCAATCTTCTGCTTCAGTAGGAACTCCACCAAATTGTCCTCCAACAGTTCTGACTCCATTGGCAATCAGAGTATGAGAAATAGGCACCTCAGATCCAACACCAGCAACTCTGACCGCTCCTTGAATCAACTGTAGAAATTGTTTACCCAAATTCTCATCAAATGCAACTTTGGTAGAATCTGGCTCACTATCGGTTGCTCCCCTGATCGGTGTAGTCATGCCAATACCAGCAGTAGGAGGTGGGGTCGTAGGAGTAAGATCATTTGTCAGATGTGTGGGATCTACTCGAATCTCGTCGATCGGGTCTGTAAATCTAGCCACTCGACCTCGTCTAGTTTGACATCCACGTCTAGCACTCATTTTGATAGATCTCTAGTTTACTACAGAAGATAAAACTTAGGGTTAGATAAGCACTTAGAGTCTCGAACACAATTAAAACCGTAAAAACTTTGTGACATGGCCTTAATAACTTGTTTTGTAAAATATTTCAAAACCATATTTTCAATTTGGACTCATACACAGTCCGAGGTTTAAAAACCAAAAGCTCTGATACCAATTAAATATAACCCTCTAAACCCGACCTATGCGTTTCGACTAAGTCTAGTGGATCACATTCATGATTCTTAAAGATATTTTTCCGAAACCATTATTCAATCAAGGTAAAATCACATTATAAATGACGTTTATGAAATTATAATAATTTATACTATAAAAACACAACTCATAAATATAATGAAAAAAAAATTAATTTAAACATGTCTTAAAAATCCAAATTTACGATAACCCAAATATAAATAGCAAAGGAGTAATCATTATAAAATATAATACTTTAAAATAAGGGCCATGTTACCAAAATAGAGTCAACTTAAAAGATAACACATTACAATACGATATACTTCAAGAGATATGTTGATCCTCCAAGTGCTCGATCAGGTGTATCTAACCAACAGTATCTGAAAGGGGAAAACATTTTCGAAAAGTGAGCTAGGCTCAGTGTGTCCCAATATTACTATAAAATCATGATAGGTACACTAAACAAATCATAGTCCAGTAAATCTCATAAAATTATATTACAGTAAATCTCTTAAAAGAATTACCCTAAGGGAACATCTTAGGGCCTGAGAGCCTACCCAAGATAGATTTCGAGGCCGTGAGGCCTACCTAAGAATACATCTTAGGGTCGCAGGGCCTACCCGAGAATGATCTCAAGGCCACAGAGCCTATCTAAGAGTCACATTAGGTCTGTACTTTATAAATTCGTATTCCAAAAATTCAATTGCACCGTGACATAAATTCCATAAATCCATAAACATGGTAATCATATACCATTTCAAAAAAAAAACAGATATCAGTCATAATCCAGAAACCATCACATTAAATCGGTGCATCAATAAAACAATAACCATAGAATTCAGTGTACCACATATTAAAACAAATAAAATAGTTCAGTAATAAATAGGGAACACACCTCGATAATAGGTTCAAATAGTATATCTACTGATTGCTGGTCTCACCACGCTCTTCTACAGTTTTCGAACCTAATTCATAATAAATCTATATTATTAATGGGTAACATAATTAATCTCTAAAATTATAAAATTTACGGGTCTTACGGGTGAATATTGGTACACGTGGTTTAACTGATCTAGAGGAGCTGGGTCGAGCTGTCGAACGATCAGGAGAGTCTCTTGCACCTTCAAACAATAATAATTTATCAGTCTCAAGTCTTACTTAATTGTTCAAAGCTAAAATTCTTAAGTATATAAGCATTTTCTGGGTTTGACTATAAATTTGGAGGATTTCGAGTCTGAATTTGACCAAACGGATTGCGGAATCAGAATCAGGACATCGAAAAACATAAAGTTGACTTTTCAAAAATTCAAATTCTTGGTCAAAATCAAAGTCAACGTGTTTGACTGATGATTTGGAGGTCTTCAGGTTTGAATATGGCAAAACGGACTTCGGAAACGGATTCAACACATCGAAAAATGTCAGAATAAGTATACTCGAACAAAATCAAAGGTCGTTTAATGGCCGTTTAAAACCAGTCAAAGTTATGGTCAAAGGAGTTCAATAGTCACATTCGAAAATTACAAAATAGTACCTTTTTAAAAATAATTACCAAAATATCACCGTTTTAAAAATAATTCTCAAAATATCACCATTTTAAAAATAATTCTCAAAATATCACTGTTTTAAAAATAATTCCCAAAATATCACCGTTTTAAAAATAATTCCCAAAATATCACCGGGTCGGGTCGGGTCAAGCCGGTCAACCTAACCTATCACTCGTCCGATTCTTCCCCACGCGTAGGGACGGCATGTGGGGGCTCGTGTGGCGTCCTCCGGTCTCCAAAAATTCCCGAAAAAAATTCCAAAAATTCTTTTAAGCGCTTTTGAGTCACTTACCAACCTCGGTTCAAAATTTTGAATGGTGGAGAGCTCAATTTCAACTCGATCGGAACTTTGACCGCTTCTCCTCCCTCACGCGCCGTCGCCTACAGAGACAAAGAGGACACGGTCGGACTCGGAACGACACAAGGAACACGATGGTGCGAGAGGTGTCGAAAACTGATCAACGATCAAAGATGAATTTAAGATTTTCTCGGCGGTGGTGCTAAAAAAAACGTCGAGACTTTGACTCGAAATTCACGTCGTTTGGCAGCGTTTCGCTATAATTGGTTTATTGGGTTTTGATCACGGGTCGAAGATGAACACGATGGTGGTTTTAATTTGGTGATTGGATGTCGAACGGCGTCGGGATCGGACTTGAAAGAAGGTTGCTAGAAAAGGAATTTTATGAATTGGTTTTCTGTGTTTTCACGCAGAAACCAATTCATTTCCTTTAAAAGAAAAGCCTGTCGACACTCAAAGGTATAATTCAGGGATTGATCATTGAATTTTCTTCAACTTCTAAAAAGGACTTCAAATTTTTAAAACTTCCAATTTAATCCTCAAACTTTGCCAATTTACTTAATTAATAATATTTTTTCTTCAAAATTTTCCGGGTTGTTACAAACTATGCCGAATAAATATTTAAATGATGCAAACCTAAAATTAGAGTCTGATTAAAGCAAAAATAAAAGAATGCCCTTAGAATAGTTTAAGGCATTGATGGGAGTTATCCAAGAAGGTCGCAACAATGTTTGCCAACCAAAACCGACGGATTGACATGCTCCGCATTCTGTAAGTACAAATTGTAAAAGAATATTCGATCTTCACAAAATAAGTATCATTTGGCCAACAGAGGGAATCCATGTTCGGTATGAAAGATTAGAGGTAAGACATAACTTTGGAAGGCCATAAAGTCATTTCCTCATAGGAATTTTAGAGATTTGCATGCAGGTAATATACAAGCGAAATCGGATAAGTTTTGGAATATAAGAGATAATTGTCAAAACATTAATATAACTACGAGTAGTAGCTCACTTATCAAGGATTTAGATTCGGATGTTTTATAATTCCTTAATTCTGCTTCAATCACTCATCTAAGTAAACCATAGAATTCAAAGAACCAGTTTTCCATAAATAAATAGTATGCACTTAGAAAGGGAGAACAAGCAAACTGGAGCAGACCCAGTTTTCCAATGAGTATGATATTCGAATATCTGACTCTACTATGACCATCTCCATTAAACACAATCATCCATCTTTTTCACTGAATTGGACAGTTCTTAAACCCCACAAGAGCTCATTGCACATATAAATTACCATAAATCATGGAAATTAAACGGAAATTGTTGAAGCAAACGAACAATAAACATAAATTACAATAAAAACAGTAAAAAGATACAAATGATAAACAACGGGAATCAGAAAATGGGATCATTTCAAATTCCAAAAATGACCCAACCACCTAATTCAGCTAATCAAACAAACGTTTTACTTGTCATTTTGTAAAGAGGGGAAGCACGCAATCTCAACATACCATAAAAAAAAGGGGGAAGCGTTACTTTAAACCCACCGAAGAACCGAGCGGGAAAAGAATTGATGGGACCCAAAACTCAAGAAAACTCCGAAACTTTCAACAAACAGCTTTAAAGTTTCATCCATTTTCAGATTCCTTGAGTTTGAGTTTAGTGCGCGTTCAATGGATTGGTGTTTGTCCAGAGTCTAAATTGTATCTTATATTAACAAATTCGAAAATCAAAACAGCGGGGATGTAGCTCAAATGGTAGAGCGCTCGCTTAGCATGCGAGAGGTACGGGGATCGATACCCCGCATCTCCAACTGATTGTTTTCATTTTTGTTTTCTTAGCATCATTTGCATATCATGAACATGTACACTTTGCATTCTGTAATCAACGCCAACATATATATTTTCAAGTATATATTTATAATATTAAGGACATTTTTACCATAAAATAAAACATTAGAGATTAAAATGTTCTAAGAGAAATAAAAAACTAAAATAATCATTTCAATAAACTTTTTTAAAATCATCAAAAGTGTGGTCTTAAACGATGCGTAAAAAACCAAAACAAAACTATAATCTAGCTCCAAATATCTAATGCTATGTAAGATGCAATCATAAAGAACAAGAATTTTCTTCACCGACATCCAATGTTGAATCGAAAGAAATCTTATTTGTGTTCGGAAATCTTGAAGACCGAGAATCTCAATCTTCAGCTCCAACTAAAACCATTGAGACCAAACTGTTTGCAACTTGAAGACCCAAGATTGTGTTCTTCATCAACATTTAAATCCAGCTTCGTTGCAAAGTAAGGCAATCTATTAACTGAATCGACCCTTTTGTTTCCTTCATCTGTGAAACTATGCTCTTCGAATTTTCCATTGGAAAAGCTTCCTCGTAATCCCACACTCGTCGATAAATCACTGCAGCTCCTGTCCGTAAACAATTCGTCGCCGATCATTTTGTTTTCGGACGATTTTGGCTCGGTTTGGTGCATCAATGGATCTTTGTGAGTACCGTATCTTCTTAAACACATTCCATTATTGTGTATTTCTTGATCTTTTAGAGACCCTTCACATGATGTCAAGCAACTATCCATTGAACAGTCATTGGCAGGATTCGGTTGACGGTATAAACCTTGTAATTCTTTCAAATCTGATAACGCCGAGTTCAGGCATTGGTTCGACACTTTCGACACCAGTTCCGATATCTGAACTTTGGCCGCTTCGAGCCCCACGGTGCCCAAATTCTGTCTATGGAGAGTCTCTTGAGCTTTCTCCAACACCGACTGTTGGTACTTCCCTTGCGCCTCGAGCTGCTCATGCAGCCTTCTATGCACTTCAATTTGAATTTGCAGCGCTTCCCCTATTTGTATTCCCCTGGATCGATGAACATCAAAGTCAATATATGTACATATATATACACATATATGATTGAATGAAAAAATAACAATGAAGATGTATCATCTTACTTGTTTGTCTGAGGTCCAATACTAAAGTAATTCATTGGGATGTTGTTTACTTCAGATATTCTTTCGTCTGTCATTGCAGCCGCACCTATATTCATTGAATCAAAATGCAATCTTCATAGATAATTGAAAACTTGTTGGACAAGGAATTAACACTGTAGTTTACCTATTTTGGCACAGCCATTGTTAGTTTGTACGTTGAGATTTTTACTAAGCCTGTATTTCTGCAGTCAAAACCAGATATAGGTATATCATAATCATCGAAAAATCGATAATCATCTAGAAGATGTGTACAATCGAGATATCCAACAACAAGAACAAAAACAGTCATGTTTCCGGATGATGTTTGATAAATTACCTGAAGATGACTTTTGAGATGGCATAAGGTAAGGCCTTGAATTCCCATTAGTTTCATCACGGTTTTAGGTGTGGCCTCTGCAACAAATACAGAGAAAATAAGTATATATGCACATGGTTTATTCGGGTAATTCTTGGAGTCTTTGGTCATTGGTGTACTAACTGTCGGCTCCGCCAAGCTGGTTAACGGCTTCGATGAATCGCTCGTGAAGATCAGGAGTCCATTTCAATCTAGGCTTGGCATCAGTCGAAAGTACAAGGCCGGAATCTCCATGGTTACCTTGCAGGAACAAATGCCTCTCATTATGAATCCCCATTCTCGGGTTCATGTTCTTCCCAAATTTGATCGATCCTTTGCTCGAAAACCTCTTCACCCCCTCTCGTATGGCCACTTGTTACAAGCAAAATGTAAGCCCCAAGCATGGCTTTATAAAGCAACATAGGGAGGGAAAGCATAGAATCTGGGACTGAAACTGATGGAACAACCTCACCTCCCCCATCCAATATTCACACTCACTAGAAAAAAAGTGATATTATCCCTCCTGTAGGCCCCGCACACACATATATGTATGTATGTATGTATGTATGTTAGATATATACCACTGCAGCAAATACTACGTCCATAATTATGATAAACTTGACCAGACCATGTTGGGAAAGCAGTGCAAAAGCCATTTGAATGGCTCTGAAGAAGCAACTTTCCTGGAAATTATGTAACACGTTGTTATTATTAGCTTACATTAGGTATTGGAATCGATCCATTAATTCGTGAGAATTCATCATTTTCGTCCCTACTGGCAAAAGGCAAGAATCTTATTCCACGGATTTTATAAAGTTTCGAGGGAATCCACTATCTATCTTTGTTCTCCAGACCTTCAAAAATGGGCTCTCAACTTCAACCAAGATTCCTGCGTAAGTCTTATGCCTTTCTTGCCTTAGCGTCGCTTTTCCCTTCATTGAAAATATACCTTTAATAAATTTAAAATTCAAATCCCCATATTTATAACCTTATATTAAAAAAAATTGGACTCTTTGAACTAAATCACTTATATGAAGCAAGCATTGGGATTAGTTTTAATAAATACAAGAAAAAAAGGGGGGGGGGGAAATGCTCTTAGAGATTGTTTGGAAGCAAGGAATGGGAATAAGGAATTCATTCCATTTTGTCTCCTTCAGCATGTTTGGTACTTATTCAAGCCTTTACAGTATTTTTTTACAAAGAAGAATGGGGACCCAAAATATCTTCTATTCTTTATCTTAATAAAGATATTATTGGAAAAAGTTTCTTAAACAGAAATGGCAGCTGAAATCAATGTAAAATATCATGACAAATACATGCAAATTCTTCCGCTTTTTACCTGCATGAATCTGCACGTAGAAAGCATGGAACTAACTATATATGCCTTGCATGTACTCATGCATGCCATGAGATTTCAAATTATCATATATTTTAGATATTTTTTATTGATAATTTATTTTTATCATTTTCTAAAATTCTACGTCCGTCCTTGTTTGAAATCATCATTTAATCCATAAGAAATTAATCCTATTGGAATAAGCTTTTAAGATAAGATTATGGTACTCGAAATTAGAATTTTCTTATAATAAGGCGTTTGTTTATGGTAGAATGTAAGTTCAATAGGCTCATGCAAGGTGTCAAGTGTAAGTTCAATATGCTTATGCTATAATAGCTAGCATTTGCACAGTGAGATATCCAATCATGGAGATAACCAGGAATTATACTATATACCTATTTTAAATACTTAAATTAATAATTAAAAAGAATAATATCCACACGTAACATGATCATCACCAGCTAATGCAGATCATAAATTCGTATATTATATTATCAACAACAAATCTGCAATATCATGTAAAAACCATCACAGTAGAAAATTAAAGCTTAATTCGATAATTGTATACATATAAACAAAGATCATACTCATACATATCAAATTTTTAATAAATTAAAAACCATTTAATTATTTTTTATATGTGCAAAAAACACTTTCAAGTTTCAACCATTCAATAATATCGATAATGTTCACTTAATTGTTTTCAGTTTCACTACTACCCTTTGCAACATGCTTTCAAGTTAGTGATAGGTTAATGTTCCAACTGTGGTCGTTGATAGCGATACTTCGAATCTGGTTCACCAACTACTTAGTCGTCTCCTTGATCTCTCCGTCGTAAGTTATTACCTTATCAAAGTTCGTCAACTACTGGATGCATCTCCTCATGTCGGAAAATTCCACTGCTCATGCTTTAGCTAGTTGGTCATCTACTGCAAATGCTTCTGTCGACTTTACTTGTGATTTTCCGGATTTTATTTCTTCTCTTGTCTTGTAAGACGATATTTCCGATTAATTAAAGAATGTTTTCTTTCCTAAAAAATATATATTTATTTTGTTGGAAACGTAGGTGGGCACTCGAGTAATTTATAAAACTCGCCCTATTATTAATACGAGGCAAAATATGTTACAACAACGTTACCTCAATATTACAATATTACAACACTACAACACTAGCTGCGGCTTGTTTACAAATACAATCTCACTATTCTAAGTTTTACTCAATTCTCTCATAGCTTTGCTAAGCTATTTCTCGTCCTTGCTTTTCTAAGCTTTTCCTCATATACCTTCTCTTTCACTTTGCATACATTTATATTAATGCTATAGACATATATTTATAAGGGTAATTAACCTCCTTAATGAAAGATCTAGGCATTTCCAAATCCTTCTTGTATTGCCACATGGAGTTCCTTATCTTAACGAAATTCCCTTCCATCATCAATTGTCACATGTTTATTTTCCATGCTTAGTTCTTAAGTAATTCAAGATCATGCTTCACTAATCAAGAATCTTCTAGCTTTTGCCACCTTTTGCCAAGTGTGTTGACAACTTTGACAATTTCAAACTTCATGCAACTATATCATCTTGTTGCCTCTTTAATTTCTTTTCTTTTGCCAACATTGATTTCCATAATGTTCAAGAATTATCCATACTGCCATCATAAGTAGTAAAATTAGATTTGAATTCTAACATATTTGATGCATATATTCTTAATCATTTTCATTTGTTGGGGTGACCCAAGTTGTTGTGTAGGCTTGCATGGTCCAACTGCATCTTTCTTCTTTTATTTTTGGGGTCCAATTCTATTGTTACCAACCATCAATTTAAAGAGATTTCCTCAAAAAGGTTTCAATCCCATTTTATACAAATAAAACAAGATGGGAACATTGTTAACCTATCACTAACTTTAAAGCATTGTTTGTGTTCATCAGCTCCATGATTCCTTGCTAATACATACATACATATGACCCAAGATGGATGAAGAAATACCGAGGTGTCTCTTAAAATTTTAAATTTTCAAATAATTTAAATATTTGTTGTATTTTTGACCCTTAAATTTCATAAGTTCTCTTCCAACATAATATCCTAGATCATCTCTACATAAGACAATTAAGCATAACACAAATATGGAATTGAAAAAAAAAACACACAAAACAATACGTACACAAGATTGCTGCAAAAATTATATATATATATATATATATATATATATATATGAATTATTATAAAATACCTTAAATAGAATTGTAACATGATATAGTGCACAGGTACGACATTAATACATGAGTTATCAGTTCTTTGATATATATATATATATATATGTCAAGAATATTAATTGAGGAATCTGAAAGTTACAAAGGACCACCAAGTTAAGGATATATTAGAATATGATTTCTTTTCTTTTCTAATATCATACATATATGGCCTCTTTAGTCCCAACAGTAACAAATGATCTGTTATATATATATATATATATATATATATATATATATATATTTGACAAAAAAATGATCTGTTATATTATATATATATATGCGTGAGTGTATATATACATAGAACAGTTTCTTTCAACCCTTTAATGCATTTTTAACAAAACAATATTCATGCTTCTATGACTGAAAACAAACAAGAACCTATTGACTATACCTGCATTGACTGTAGACACTGTCAGCGAATTCCATCGTCTAATTTCATAAATCCTTTTCTTATATACACTTTCAAAGTTTAAAGTATGCTTTTCTTTCCTTTAATCCTGGTATCACCACTTTTTCCGTTTTGGGATCCTGCTGAAGACTTAGATGATTCGTGTGAACCTCCGCCTGCAACATGCTTCTTTCGTCTTGAAGCACCAGTGTTGGCAGATTCGACCAATGGACCTGACCGAGTTTGGATTGGTTCTTTCAAATAAGTGAATGATGTAGTGCTGAAGGAGATATCCGGAGGAACAAGTGCAGGATCAATGCGATGTGATGCTCCTAACGGAAAGTCGAGAGCTGCATCCTGGTGTGGTGGGGGGAATTTATCGCTTTTGCTTTTTGCATTGGCGTGTGATATTAGGCGCCTTCTCTGCTTCAGAAGGAAACCCAAAATTAGTTATGAAGATTTTAACTATGTTGGTCACGGCTAGACCCAGAACTTCTCGTTGTAATCACAAGGAACGAGTGCAGGATCAATGCGATGCGATGCTTGTTGTTTGCTTAGGGGAAACACGGTATAAAAGAAACATGAAACAAAAAGAAAAAGGAGTGTCCATCTTTGAAGAAAATAAATGAGATAGCAGTTGTTGACAAAAGTTAATCATCCGACTTACATCAAGATTAGACCTAAGCTCAGCATTGGCTTTTGGAGCAGGGATTGCACTAGCACGATTGCGTGTCCTTGTCTTCCTTGCAGCATCACCCTCGGCTTTACCGGCCGCTCTGATTTTGCAAATTTAGATGTCACTGTCAATTACAGATAATATATACAGGAGATATAAATGACTTGATGCTTTCAAATGTATATTTGCATTTTCCTGTGAAATCGAGAGCAGGACACAAGTACGAGCTTCAAAAATCATAATGAAATATATTGAAAACTTTCTAAGCAGACAACCATGGGTAGAAAACAAATTCCCACGCCATTAACAGTGTGGTTAAAACTCAAATGGAACTAAACTCGAACAATACCGCTTTGAAAAATCCTAAACATTGCACATTTACACTGATCTAACCAACCAGCAAAATTCAAAGTTTCTCAAGTCATAACAAGTTCTATCATATACATTTAGTAAAGAATCATTTAAGACATTGCAAGTAAGATCCAGAAAGACCTGAATCTCCGTATCTGAACATGCAAACCATGTTCGATCTTTCCAACAGAGCAAGCACTAAAAGGTATCTCACATTCTTATGCATGTGTATAACTGAATATAACCTTTTTTCCATGACATTCCATCAAACTAAAACATTTCTTGAAATCTAATCTGCTAGCAGAGTTTTGTAAAACAGTCGGTGATTAAAGCAAAAGAATTGACCTCCGAGCTTCATCATCTCGTCGTTTTGCATCCATCTCTTTACTGGGTGGATATTTTGGGAGGCTAGAAGGTTCACAAGCATAAGGTTCCGTCGTGAAGAACTGTAGAGGATATTAAAATGGTCATTTCAAAAGAGCATCTCCACGATAAATCAATCGTTATAAATAAAATGTCAAAAAGATGCCAAGAATAAAGAGATGAAGAGAATGTTCATTGAAAACAAAGAACTCACTTCACTTCTTAATGCAGCGGTAGCAGTCGAACGTTCTGCTGGATCAATTGCAAGAAGAGTATCTATAAGGGGCAGCAATGACGGTGGGAAATCTTTAAATGTCTCCCTTATGCATCGTTTATAAGGCTCTCGAGGTTTAAACAAGGCTGCATTTGGCAACTTTGACTTCTTCCAGTATTCATCTGATGGTGAACCACATAACTTGTATATCTTATGTAATTGTTCCACCTAATTGATCAAAACATAAACAGTTAGCGGCAATAAACGGTAGTACAATTACACCAAATGTCACCTGTTCATTTTCAACATGCAAAAGAACAGAAAGAGAAAATAATGAAATATTCAAGATATGATATTGTAATTTATTGGTTGCAAAATATCACCCTCCAGTCAATATGATGTATGCCCTAAACACAGAATACAGCAAACTTTTAAGAAATTAAGTTAAACGAGAAAGTGAGAAAGAAATAACTTCCCAGATGAGCAGTGATGCCGAAATACCTTCCGGCTATAATCTTGCACAAAGATATAGAAAATAATCCCGAAAAACAGCAAAATGAATAAAACCCTACCTCTGTTCGACCAGGCATAATGGGTTTCCCAGCCAAGAGCTCACCTAAAATGCATCCCACACTCCAAAGGTCCACACCAACAGCGTATTCTGTAGCCCCAAGAAGAAGCTCAGGGGCTCGATACCACAGAGTAACCACCCGACTAGTCATTGGGTGCTTATGGTTAGGATCAAAGAATGTTGCCAGCCCAAAATCAGCAATCTTAAGCACACCTTCATCATCAATAAGAAGATTGGACCCTTTAATATCACGGTGAAGCACTCCCCGGTTGTGACAGTGCTCTAGTCCAGAGAGTAGTTGATGCATGTAACATTTAACCTACAATGGTATCATATATTTTAAGCATACTTCTTGAGTCACCACCTTGGCAAGGATGTAACCACAAATTTTACTACCAATTTAAATCACAAGATGAGTCGGGGCTAACCTGTGGCTCCGTAAACTTTACTAGCGGGCTTGCTGCAAGCCCAGCCAAATCATGTTCCATATACTGAAATACCAGGTACAAACTACACGACATCCTCGAAGTAACTAAACCTTCCAATTTTATAACATTGGGATGATCCAACCTCCGCAATATGAGAATCTCTCTAGCCATGAATTGCACACTTTCAGGTTCCAGATTATCAAACCGGACTTTCTTTAGTGCAACAATATTATCTGTCACCATATCTTTAGCTTTATACACATTGCTATATGTTCCTGAGCCAATCTATCATTAGCATGCAAATGTAAGTGTCTGAATCAGAACACCAATCCGAGAACCAAACAACATTGAAGATGATGTAACTAAAACCAGAGGCGACAAAATCAGCCATCAACATGCTACAAATTAAACAATGACCACAACTTAAATGGCACAACCAGTTAAATGCTCCAACATTTCAAAACAAACTACATTTTTTACATCATCATTCAATAAGGATAACATTGAACAAAAGAAAAATAGTGCACCTTATCTTTTAGTAAGGAAAGATAAGTATTTAAACCGAAACACCATCTTCAAAAATATCAGCATCGAGAACAAGACCAAGAATCAAACAGTATCCAAGATAATGTAAATAAAGTCAGCTGCTACAAAATTGACCATCTATATGCCACAAATCGAACAAAGAACACAACTAAAAGCATTTAACAATCCAAAGAAAACTACATTTTCGACATCATCATTCGACAAGTATAACATTGAACAAAAGCAAAAACTGCCCCACCTTATCAATCTTCTCGAATGTGTCGGCCCTTCGTGGAATCCACCCATTAAGGGCCTCTCCACATGCATCTGACAACCACGAAGGCCATCCAGCGGCCACCTGCTCTCCGCGCAAATGTTTCGGTATGTTACCAAGCCTTGGATTTGGCTTTGGTTTTCTCCTTTCCACCCTTTGTTTTCTTTTACCAATACCATCAGCTTTTTCCTCCTCCTGGGTACCCTCACTTTCAACCTCTACAACACTAGCATCAGTCTTCGGAACTGCAACATTATCTACTTCCCTATTGGATTCAAAATCTCCATTTTTATTCTTTCTGGACTCTGAAACGATCCCTGAAGATACCTCTCTTCCCAACACACACCCCATTTCTCAACATATTCTAATCTGGGTCTTGCTTTTAGATCACTAAATAGTAAACAGATAATTAGATACCACGAATCAAGGAATTGTAACAAAGCATGATCCAGTCACAAGAAATTGCCAAATGCACAGCTTAAACTAATCATTCAAACACACAGATAAGGTAGAATTCACTATGCAAAGAAAATCATAAAACCTTTCCCTTTTTACCGCTGTGAATTTGGGAGCTTCCAAATTTCAGGAAAAAGTGGGGAAACAATAATCTTGAAGCTAGCTAACTAAAAAGAGGTTAAATTTAATAGGTCTTAAGAAGAAACTTGGAGAAGCCAAATAAAAATGACCCGAAAGTATTATTATTATTATTATTAAGAAGAAGATACAGTTTTGGAGAGAGAAAGTGGATGAGATCTTGATAAAAGATTATTTGTAGAGAGAGAGAGAGAGAGCGAAGAAGAAGAAGAGGATATCTGGTTTCTTCAAGTGTTACTTTCTATTGGTTAAATGTATTTGGTTTCTTTGTTTTTAGCTGTTTGTATTTCTTCAATGCTAATTTGGGTAAACTACAATTTTCGTCACTTAACTTTACTCTCACTTCTATTTTATTCACTAAACTTTAAAAATCTTTATTTCTTTTACTAAACTTAATACATTATATTTTTTTAACTCCGCCTTTAAATAGTTAACGTCATTAAAATAATGTTGTTTTAAAAGAAACAAAACTTTTACTGAAACGATGTCGTTTTGCATCTATATAACAATACATTTATAACAATATTAGTAAGAAAACGACTGAGTGACAAAAAAACTTAATGTATTAAGTTTAGTGAGAAAAATAAAAATATTTTAAAGTATAGTGAGTGAAAATTAAAAATATTTAAAGTATATGTTGGAAGTTTTTATAAAGTGTAGTGTGAATAAATTTTATAAAATTTAATACTATAATTATTGGAATCTCTCTTTTTGGTAATAATCTAGAGATATTACAAGGTAGTATATGTTTAGAATCTTTCTTAGTCATTGACAACGTGCATACACCTTGCAGACGTAACTGTTTGAATTCAATACCTCTAATAAAAAGAACACTCCCTTTAATTACTAAGATCATTCTATGAATTCTGTATTAATCCCCTTGTATTAGTAAAATCAGATGCTTTTTAATTAAAAATAAGATAGATAGTTTTAATATTCTTAAAATCAGTTTAAACTGAAAATATATGATAACACATTTTATATTTTATATTTTAAAATTTGAATATGAATAAATTTATTAGTGGCCGGTATTTAGGACTAAATTAAGGTGAGTAATATTCAAGTTGATTATTATTTCATAGGATTTTCCACAAAAATATGGAAGAAAATATGAGAAAATCCTAAAGTTAAAGTGAATATTTATTTTTGTAAAGGCAGGCATGTTCAGTGGCTTGGTTGCTTTAATAAAGGATAGAAAGATACAATACTAACCATAACCATCCATCTAATCAAAAACCTTGTATCATTCCATCATTATCAGACGATTTTGATGGTAAATAAATTATTGTTGTTTCATAAAATCTTAAATTCGAACATAAATAATATTAGGTTGTAAGCGTTCAATGTTAAATAGTTGAGAGTTATTTTTAAATAGATATTACTTTATACTTACCCCAAATTAATAATAATAATAATAACCTTATACCATTCTTTGTTAATATTTAGTATTTAAAGAAAAAATTAACATATTTTCTTCTTTTTCAATAAACAAAACCTATGAATTTGTGAACTATACTTTTCTTTTGTGTTTTTTTTCCCTTAATGTAGACAACATGTAGTATCATGTTTATATGTTCAAAAACCGAAACCAAGTTAAGTTGATTATTTCTTGCTCACCGCCGTAAAGTGTTAAATTGTGACTGTAACGTAGTGTAAGATTTTAGCTAATGTTTTTTAAGGTTATCACGACAGTATCATTACATTCGCGATATAAAATCATACTTATTTTTAAGAAATAAATTATATCATAATGTATGTAATATCTATAACAGTGACACTGCAGTTAGAAATGAGTGTTCGATCGAGTCGAGTAAAAAAATTTCGAGTTATTTGAGTTGAAGAGTCTTATTTTATAACTCGAATTTAATTTTTGAATTTTTTTCGAGTCGAGTTTATAAAATTTGAGTCAAGTTGTTCGAGTTCCTGTTTAAATGTAATTGTAAATATTTATAATATTATGATACTATTTGATTCTTATTTAAACGGGTTTTTATAACCATATGTAATTTATATATTTTTTCATATTATTTTCATATGTGATATACATATATCATACAAAGTAGAGGGACTCCACTCAAGGTAAAAAATAAATTCTGTAACTTTTAAAAATTTCGAGTTCTATTTTATAACTTGATTCGAATTTGATTTTTTTCGAGTCGAGTTAAGTTTATAAAATCACGGTACATGCAATGATCACAATAACACCGTTATTTCCGCAATCAAGATAAATACAATGTTGAAAAACGTAATGGAAACCGCAATATAAATCTCTGATGACAAGCTGGGAGACAAACTCAAACTCACACTCATCGGAGCTGAGCTCTGTATTAAGGAATTACTACAACTAAAACGTACCGCGCTGAACTTCATCTTGTACTGATAAAGCTATGAAACAAACTCAAATTCATCGGAGCCAAATCCATAAGGACCATACAGAGTTATTGTGAACACAATCGATTTTATGTGGACGAGTAATTACTTCAGCTTAGATAAAATTGAAGGAATAATGTCTGTTGTAATGTTGTAGATTCTAGTATAATAAAGGTTTAAATGTTCGATATGATTGTTTGAATATTTAGTGATTTAAGATTATTAGAGTTTTGTAACCTAAATTTCATTTGAATCTGTTTAAAATTATACTTCTACTATTGAACGTTGATTAAATTTAAAAATTCTTGTTTGAATATATTTGTTGCTAAGTTGATTTCTTCTATAATCAAATAATTATCTATATAAATGGATAATCAGAATTAAAGTTAAAAGTAAGTCGAGACGCACAGTCTCATATCCTCTTGTATTCTTTTTATTTTTATCATTAGTAAAATAGATAAACTATATATTTGGTCACCCATCTATTACTTAATTGTTATTTTGATCATTCAACTATTATTATATCCAAAATCATATCTAACATTATGTTCTGGTCACTCACCGTTAAAAAATTAACAATGACATTGATATGATTTTTTTTATTTTTTAATATTAAAATAACATTATATTATGATGACACATTAATATCAACGTTAATTTTTTCAACAACAAATAATCAGAACAAAACCAAAACATAAGGTTAGAAAAAGTGATCAACCACGGCTACCCTACAAACACACCCATAAAAGAGAAAACCGGAAACCAGAAGCCATGATTAATTGTTGTATGAATTACAGAATGGAGATGGTGAATTCCAGGGGGGATATTTTTGTTTCCTTCAAGGCTTGAAAGAAGGAACTTCGTATAAAGGAGAATAGAAAGTTCGGTAGATCATTCTGTTAAATATGTTTCTAAAAGGGTCCTCTTCTCGCTTCTTTAACAAGTAATCAATACAGTGTTCAACTTCAGATTTTACCTGCAAATATACTTCACTTGCAGCTTCTCGATTCTTCACCAAATCATCTCTGCCTTTCAGTTTCATCGGTTTTCCGAAAACGAAGTAAATCCGGCCTGGAATTTTGGGTAACAAAGCTGGAATGAAGATCTCTTGGCTAGCAACCTCTCCTAGTGCTTTATCCCTGCATTTACACCATATTATCTATTCATCCCATTACTGGATAAATGCAACTTTTTTAACATCAAAAGCAGAGTTTTTTTATGTTAACATATGTGCCAACGATAATGCTAAACGAAATTTTTTTTTAGGTAAAGTACATAAAAAAAATGATTTTCTGATTATAAAATATTATTTTAATAAATTCATCGACCGTTAAAAGTTATAAAATGATCTTCCAATTATAGAGTGTTGTTTTGTTGAGTCCTTCAACTATTAAAAGTTATAAAATGGTCGTTTGACTATTCAATATGTCCCAAACTCGTCTTTTTCCGTTAAAAAATTAACAGTTGTCTGAGTTGGACGTTAATGTGCTGATTGAGATATGATAGTCGTTTGAGATTATGAGATCAGATTTTATCATAACTCAGTCAGCAAGTTAACGTCTAGCTTAGAACGCCGTCAATTTTTTAACAGAAAAGGACGAGTTTGGAACATATGAATAGCCGGTGATTATTTTATAACTTTTAATAGTCGGGGGACTATTTTTAACTGTTAATAGTTAGGGACTCAACAAAACAATATCCTATAATCGGGTACCCTTTGTCTACTTCACCCTAAAATTTTATAAAACAAATGATTGATTAGAGAGAGAATAGTGACCTGAATTGCACACCATCTTGAATGGCTTCTTTGATTTTGTCATTAACAATAGGGATTTTCATGTAGTCATTGTAATCAAGGAGCATCTGCTAACAAATGATATAAATATGGCTATACAACAATGAAATGATATCATATATATACATGGTTAAAAGAAACATGAACTTACTTGCACTATATCATCTTCTCCTACAACCCCAAATGGTACAATGGTGGCCCCAAACTGTGCCGCGAATCTCACAAATTCTGGTTGATCAGGCCAAAATAGTTTATATTGTTCTCCCTGCAATGAAGAACACATTGTTTGATCCTCATGAGTAAAGCAGAAATGCGGAAATCTTAAACTATTTTCGATATTCACAGTCCAACACATGGAAACCGCGATTGCAACCGGAATTAAAAACCTGGATTTCAGGTTCTCGGACTTGGTTCCATTGGATAAAGCCTGAAGCATATTCTCACCTTATGATGGAGGGCCTCACGAGCACCACCAGGATAAAGAAGTACATGGGAGTTTGCAGATAAAGCTTTGAAAAGTGATTTTGGTGAGACAGGCATTGCTCCCATCACTTTGAGCCAATCAGAAAAGTTAAATGTAGTGGATAATTTCTGGAAATTTCCCCCAAACAACTCGGGGTGCGACATTCCACGGATCATGATCTTCTTTTCTCTTAAGAATGCTTCTGCCAGGCAGTTGATTTCCATCCCCAATAACATATGGTCGCCAACTAACAATACGGGACCCTCATCCGGAACCCCTGCAAGCCCCCCAACTATCTTCCCATCTTCCATGGTTGAGAACATCGTTGTACATACGAGAAAACGTAAGATTCTGCAATCCAAGTGGCGGAAAATATCAGCTTGAAGAGTCCCAAATAAGGAGAAATGAATCAAATGATGCAACTTAAACAGGTTTCTCAGATATGTCTGTATGTTTATATGCATCTATACATGTATATTATCTGCATATATGGCTAGTGGAATTACCCTGAAAAGTCATCAAATGCACATTTGTATTCATAGATGCTGGGAGGCAGAAAATCTTTGATAAAATCATGCCTGCTGGAATGCCGGTATATGCAGGTACCTTTAATGATAGTAAGCAAATTTATGCAGTCTTCCTATACCATCACAAAAGAACATGTTAGTTAATTCGAGGTTATTCTGACTCACGAAAAGCTGAAATGGCATAGCTTCCGGTTTCTAACACATAAGATTGAATCAAAAGCAACAGAGATTCTAAAGTTGAAAAAAATAAAAGCAAGAAGGTGACATCATAGGATCTGATAGCAAAGACTTACAAATAAAAGGGCATGACCATTGTCCTTGAAGATGCGAACTATGCAATTTGGTAATACTTTCTTAAGACGAAGTGCTTCTTGTCGACTGGGAAATAGATGATCCTTGTCACTAAAGCACATAAATTTTTAGAAACAGATCACCAGAATATAAAAAACAAGATAGGAATCTCCTATGTTGAATGACTAATTTGTTCAGGGTGTGAGTATCGGGTTTGATGTTGAAGTCTTTCTATGTTTTTTCATGTATTTGAAGTCGCTAGGAGAGCCAATATCCTCATGCTCGTTTCTAAAAATGTGTGGGAAATCAGGTCAGACATGGACACTTGAAGCAAAACAAAAAGTCAGTGCAGCCTAGCCAAACCATATCAGACACTAGCCTGGAATCCGAGTAAAGACCTGGCAATCACTAATACTTCAGCTTTAACAGCATGGAGACGTGAATTAGTATAAGCAGAAGCCGATTTAAGCAGCTTTAACTTCCAAAGGAGAGTCTCCTTAGGTAAAATCTCAGGTAAACCCTGAAAATAGAGCAAGGAAAGCACTATTACAAGCAGAAAATGCCAGGAACAAACAAAAACAAATGATAAATCCAAGGAATCAAGAATGGTTCTTACAGAAAAAAAGGGAAGCAAAGCAGTGAGGTTACTAGAAACTTTCTCAAATTTCTGTGTGGGAAGAAGCCTAGCTTCAACACCAACTTTAGCCATTTTCAATGGTTCCCCTATTTCATAAAAACAGAAGCTGTAATCCGAATCAAGTGATTTCAACCTAACTAAAGTTGTCTATGTTGGTCGTACATTCAGCTTTTGTTGAACAATGGAACCTAAATTGAACAAAGCTAAGGATGCTGTAACAGAACAGCGGTTATATATATGATGCATGTAGGGAATCATGGTATTAGAATTTCATATCTGCTATGCATTAGAGTTTGTGTTACCGTGTATTGTGGTTGCTATTTCAACCAATTAAAGGGAGACTAAAATCTCAGGACTGGTTGGAGAGAAACCAAGTTTTCTTTATTATATATATATATATATATATATATATATATATATATAATTTCTGCTTAGATCTTATTATTCCATATGTCCCAGGATAGTCTATTGTGTAAGGAGAAAATCTATTCTAGAAAGAAAATAAATCAACAGAAATAAAATGACTGAAATCGGTTGTGACTGCCATAGTTTATGCTGAGATGGATCTGGTATGATGGAATGTAATCGCTTTTCAGGGAACTTAATTGGTGGAGGAGACTGCCACTGCTAACGCTTACCAATCATAAGGCTGAGAAGAAAGGGGATAGTTCTAACATGTAATCCATCAGGGAAAGCTTCCAATACAGGGAGAGATTGTTGCAGTTGAGAACTGGCAAATGATGTGGCTAAAATTATGTGAAAGAAAAAAAAACCCCATCAGGCTGACCTTGGCATTTCAGCAACAGAGTTCAGTTCATGAAGATTTTGAATTACTTGATGAAAGAAAGGATCTTCATTGTGAATGAAAACTGACCTGGATTTACTAATATCATCACTAAGTCAACACTCGGATTACGAGCAGCAACGGCAAGGGCTAAGCATCCTCCAATGGAGTCTCCCACTAAATAGATTGGACTCTTTGGATGGGAAGCATGCTCAATCCTAACAGCTTCTTCAACTAGTTTCACCAGTCCTTCGTATTTTAAAAAAGGTCGAATTTTTCAGACGTAAGAGTTTGATACGGGAATTTGCCAACACGGGTATATTTTAAGAAAATAAAGAGACGGATTAATATAGTTGTTATAGTCAAAGAAGGATCATAAAAGACAAAGAACCTTCAAATGGTGTTCGATCATTCACTGGAATATGAAGGCATTGGACTTCAAAAACCCTGCATTACTCAACAAAAATCTTCAATACAAATTGTTACTTCTCAAATAGTTATTGCTTGAACCAACTTTAATTGCCACCGTTGAAAGGAAACTATGGATGTTGTGAGGCAAAATTATCAGGAAAAATGGGGCATTAAGTATTCAACGTAGATAAAAATAACTTACTTTCCAAGAGGTTTATGGTGCAAAATGAGGCCCATCCCAACACCATCTAGCCCTACATGCATCAGATTTCAGAAACAAAAGAAGGAAACACACTTGTTTAAAGCAGTAAACTTAAAGTATTCATGACTTAGATGTGGGTCTCAAACATATATTTTCGACTTGAGTTCAAGGATATGATTCAAATACACAGAAAAAAAACTTGGGAAGTATAGACTTACCAGGTAAAAACAGAAGTAGAGGAGAATCTTTGATAGGGCGCCCACATTCAACAGGGCAAAACCACCTTGGTGGTCCACCGTCCGGCTTAATCATGTCCTTTGCAGCATCGATATAATCTTTCACAGTATTAGTTCCATAACCATCGTCCCAGAATAGTTCCAGTTCTTCAGAAACAATATTTTTCTCAGTTGTAGACTTGAAATTCCATTTCCCATCTTCAAGCACTGACCCTTTTTTCATTGCTTTCTTTCCCATCACAGGAACTGATCCACTCACAGAGACCCCATCAGATGACAATACTGACAAATCATTACAGTCTGATCTCTCAGCTCTCACTCTAAGACGAGGCTCCTTCACCCAAAAACAACTCCATGCCTGGAAATTAATAGAAAATGCCATCTTCCTACTATAAACTGCAACACCTTACACCCTTTAAACACAAATATCAACAGAGAAACTTATTGTAGCATTTTTTTTCAAGCACCAAAAGTGCCAGGTTTAGATCCTTTATTTGCGAGGCTCACAACATGAACAACTTTAAACCCAATGGGAACAACTAGTAACAGGGGTGGAATTGTTGAAACCCTTTTTCAAGGAAAGAAAACTGAAAAGAAGCACAAATAATGTAAAACTACAATGCTGCCTAAAACACTCTAACTGAAATCTATCACACTTTTTATACCATCAGAAATATATATATATATACTGAATGACAACATGAACTGACAGCAGAAGTGTTTGAATTGAATTCTTTTGGCAAAGAATAATTTAAGTACAAGAAATACAGATATTGTAGTGTGTGTGAGTTTTAATTGGATTTCCAAAATGGGTTGGGTGGGGGGTTTTCAAATGACCACTTAATATGGTACTGGTGTCGATATGACCACCATATTTTTAATTTTGGTAATATGATTACATGATTATTTAAGTGGTTTTCATGTAACCCTTTCCGTTACAAAATAAACGATATAGTTGATGTGGATATCTAACTCACCGTTAGTCAACAACAACCACATTAATTACGTGGTTTGTTTTGTAACGAGAGGTGGTTACATTGAAATCATTTATATAATTATGTGGTGATATTGCCAAAAATGAAAGTATAGTGGTCATGTCGACACTAATTCCATAATTAAGTGGTTATTTGAGTAGTTTACCCAAAAGTTTATATCATGTGATTACATTGAAGCCTCTTAAATAATTATATGATTATATTGTCAAAATTAATCGAAGTATGGAGTAATTGTGTTTTCATGGATTAGACAGTAGTTCCAAAATATTTTATTTTTCTTGTAGCAAACATTAAATATTTAGTATTTTGTAAATTTAATTTAAATAAAAATTATTACTAAACAATAAATTTGTGTTTGTTAATATGTCCACTACGTGTAAACGAAGACATGAGAGTCGGAGGGTCATCAAATGGTAAACGAAAAGACAAAACAGTGTGGTGATTGTTAATATAAGCTGAATTATGATTAATTTTTGGATGGGAATCAAATATTTCTGGGTTGATGTGTCTTCTTATGTATGAACCGTTTTTAGATTATCTTTTTAAAGCATCTTGAAACACCAAAACCAGACGTCGAAACCTCAAGATATTTATGTTTTAACGAAGATAGTGCAAACAGAAAATTAGATACGGATTTAATATGTGAATTTGTAGTAATTAGGAATTTTAAAGTTTATTTATATTTACCGTACCATTACCGTATCTCTACTATGTAATTTTGAATATTTCCGTTTTACGTATCAAAATCCGTCTCCGTATCTGTATCATTGCAACATAGTCCTCCATGGTACATCAAAACAGGTCGACCTTGATGTTCATTTTATTCATGAGAAGGTTCTTGCTCAGCAGCTCCTGGTTAATTACGCTCCATCAGAGCAACATGTAGCTGATCGGAATTCAAATGGAATCTAACCCATGGAAAGCTTTCTAGCGTGTGCTCCGGCAAACAGAAAGCTCACAAGTGTTTTAGACGCTTGTAAATGATATATGATTATTATTTATTATCACAATCTAAACTCGTGGTTATCTAAAGACTACAATTATCTGTCATAACTGCAGCTTTATTTTTGCCATTAGAGCAGCTTGGAAAATGCTTATGAAGAACATTAGCTTTTAAGCAACTGAATTCCATTTCAAGATAATACTGAAAATTTCATCTTCCAATATATTTATTAAACATATAACACTAGAGTTTCTAGCATTCATTAATTTAATTCTTCGGAAACACAGCTTTCAACATTTTCTTTGGAAATTTCTCTGCAATTTATGCCTAGATCATAAAAGTATTTCAGCATTTGCTTAAATAAATTTGTATGTAACTATGTATTTGTTTCTATATTTGCTCTGACTAGTTGTTTTTCTTTAACTATCCATGTCCAACCATACTCGTATCCGACACGCGTACCTAGGTTTGAGTAACATAGTATGTTTCACTAAAACAAGGCTTCCAATGTCCTGAATTGCCATACCAGTCAACTATAGATGACAAATTGCTGCTTAAAATCGAAAAGGCTATACAATGTATTAGATTATATGACTGCACAGATAACAATTAAGATAAATATAAGTGCAGCTAGTCCTAGTATTGCACCGAAGATCCAGAAAACCTTCTGGAGCAAACTCAGTGAAGTTGAGGTACTGCATCGTTTCATCTGCACCATTAACATGAAAAGAGATCGAGAAACCGATTAAGAGATGACTAAAACATTTGAAGCTTTAACTTGTTAACAATTCTGCTCAAATACGCATCAAATACCTGCACTTGGCTGGGAATTGATACATCATTAGCCTGCACAAACAAAGGAACAAACAAGGGTCCTTTCAGAATACATAAGCTCAAGGAACAATTGTTTTCAACAACAATATCTTACGGGTAATACTAAAAACATACAATAAGCGGTCGTAAAAGCTCTTGTTCCTCTTCAGACGGTAATGTTTTTGTTTGATCTGCAATTGCATGATGTTAAACTTAATCAGAGTTATTGACTGTTTATTTGGAAGCATTGAAAAGAGACCTTCCTAAACATCAGCATCCATGACATATGTACGGAAATAATGCAATATATCTGGTTTGTGTTTCAAGGTATGATAAGCTAAAGATCGGTGAGATTTAGTCAATCCCGGTGAGCAAACAGTTCATCAATCCATGCAGATTACAACATTACTCAGAGAAGTCAAAATCCTAATCGAAAATCTTATGCACACTAACAGTCCGATGATAGGATATTCTAATTCACTACACTAGCTTTTTCAAAGTTACACATATAGTTACATGCACAATTGCAAATACGAATACTAGATATTTGAATAACTATCACAAGAATTAACCATTACAAACCATTATAGATCGGTTCTACCTTGTACACAGTCGCCGATCATTTTTTTCAGTTCGTTGTTGTTTCCATGAGTTAAGCTTCCAGGCCTGCAAAGAAGAAGAACATTTCTTAGATAATTAAGTTCAAACCCTGCTATTTCATAACAAAACTTGATGCTCTCCTGGTATCATCATATTAAGGCTGCTCCTTCGAAACTGGGAAAAGCAGGAGCTCAGGACATGGAAACTCTGCAACATGAGAGGCAAAGGCTGCATACGATAGAGAATTGGCCATGTGCACCGGGGAACACCCTATTTATCGACTATGCTTTAGCCTTATCTAATTCAATTGCCCAAAATGAAAGATGAGAAAAACGATACCTGCTCGAAGTTGGTAAGGCAGACAGGCTAAGAGCCAATGCTTTGGTTCTTAGCCGCATATCCGACAACATCTTCCATCGATAATCGATATCTTCATCCGTTCTGCAAATGTACTGCAGCAACAGGTTACTTATGAAGCAGAATAAGAACAAATTCAGCACATAGTTTATCTTTTCAATTGATAGTTCGATACACATATATACACTAGAGAATCAACCAAACGGTCCAAATCCTCGACAAAGAAAGGTAAAAGCATCCGTTAGTTCTGAATACAAGCAGACCTAATCGATTTAAAAGTCAAGTTACCATAAAAAGCAGTATAACAGTAGGAAACTAAACTGGTCACCAAAAACAAGCAATCTATAATAATAAAGTGTAACTGAGAGAGAGAGAGAGAGAGAGAGAGATGAAACATACAAAATTGGTTTCGAAGGAGGGTTTCTAAGAAGTGATTCAAGTCTATCAATTTTGATCCCAGATTCCAAAAGCTTGGAACGAGAAGAAATGTCTATAACACAATTTTCATGGGGTTTCAGAGATGGGTTCTTGTTGTTTACTCTGTTTTCTATGTCTTCCACCAACTTCAATGCTTCTTCGGCTTCCCTCATCCATGCATCCCCCATTAAAATTTGCTTATACATCTTCTCCAATAAACCCAAACTTGTATCTTCCCCTCAAAAGTAACAACAAAGCTTAAAGAAACTAAAAATAAAAATAAAAATGAAAAAGTAACAATTTTTATTCAAAGGAAACAATAACAGCTTGCTGAATGAAGCAACGACTGGTCTAGTCTCTTCATCTTACTGTAAGAAAAGACTAAAAATTATAATGGTATTGTCCCACATCAGAGGCAATTTTGCAGAATTAATTATTTTCCAATTAAGCTTCATTTTATTTTGGTATTGGATTTATTTAATTATTGTTAGCCAGCTAAGATCATCTGCAAGAGGCAAGTTTTTTAGTCCATGGAAAATCATATGGTCTGCATTTATTTTCTCATGTGAAGACAATTATAATAATCAGTTGAGAGAAAATGACGGTCTCTGTTTGAGGAATTAGGGTACTTCTACTGTAGCGGGTTAAGGAAATGCGTAATTCAAAATGTTAATATCTTTTTAATATTTTTTTGTAAAATATTATTTAAAATATTATTTTTTTTATTAAAAATGTTAATTTCGTTAGCTGATTTCTGGTAGAATTCAATATGAACATTTTAGGTAGAAAAAAAATAATGTTTTAGAATTCAATATTAACATTTTCGGTAGAAAAAATAATATTTAGGTAGTATTTTACCGGAAATGTTAAATATTTTAGGTAGTGTCCAATATTAATATTTTCGATAGAAAAATAATATTTTAAGTAGTGTTTTACTGAAAATTTTAAAAAAAATATTAATATTTCTTATAGCACATTTCCTTAATCGTATATTAAAATTGTCATACCTCAAACATCCATGAGGAATTATAATATTTGATATCCTCTCATGTTGAAGCACTTTATAGGTTTGTTCAATGGCACCAATGAAACTATTGTTATTTTCCACTTGTTTCAAATGAAACCATCATTTTCTTTAGGCTGCCTATAAAGTGAATAATGAATCCGCTTAATCTATGTTTACAATAATATAACAAATATGAATACAGATAATGGATATTCAAATATTAATATCGTCATTCGTAATGAATAACAACTACGATATATAAATTTATAATATTCGAACTTAAAAAAATAATAATAATTAAAAATTTAAAGAAAATTATACGATGCTCGACGAGTATCGGTGAGCACCACTAACGATGAACATTGTTGAGCATCATTAATTTTATTTATAAAAATTTAAAATTCTAAAAGACTCAATGTATAATTATAAATTAATTAAAAAATTTAAGATAAATTATTTAAAATAAAACATTAATTACATTATTTTTATAATATTTTTTAACAATATTTGGATAAAATATAAACCCTAAATTAAAAAAACATTAAATATTTTTAAATTTAATTCTATATTTATCTAAATTGCCACAGGGGATAAGCAAAGTCGTATTCATACAAACCATATTTTTTCCATAAATAATTAAATTAAAAACCCTAATTATGTTTGATAAATAAAACTCTAAATGCTTATCCCTGCGACAATTAAAAACCCTAATGTAAATATAAACCTTAATTATGTTTGATAAATAATAAGTGGCAATTACCACATTAATGAAAAAATATCTAAGATTTTTTTATTCATGGGTGGGTATTTAATTTAATTATTGTTAAAAAATATGAAAAATAATATAATTAATATTTTATTTTATACAGTTTACTTTTAAAATTTTAATTAATTTATAATTATACATTGAGTCTCTTAAAATTTAAAATTTTTAATAATTAAATTAAATTAATGATACGGTACTCATAATTTCAGCAGTAATCGTCAGCGTGACAGACTAACCTATAATTTAATGCTTAATTTTTGAAAAAAATATAGTATTTAAGATGAATGGGAAACCGGTTTTACCGGTATGAGAGCTGTTGAAGCGTTCATTAGCTCCAAATCGAGCATGCAACTGAAGGACCCGGTAAAAGGGTTAAAAACAAATAAAAGGTTTTTTTTGCATTTTAAATTTCAATACGACTGTATAATCATTTTCACCAGCCATTTTATTTTATTTTTTTATTTTTTTTCTTCTAATATTTACTTTTGGAATCCGAAACGGCGGGTATCTCAGATCGTCTTCATCTGGTTTTCCACTTTTCCTTTTGCTTCAGGTGAGTTCTATTTGCTTCTGTTTGGTTACCCAGAAAGTATAGGAAACAAAGAACGTAGACAAGAAACGACTAGTTCAGGTTCCGGTTTTACTATGAATATGCACACTTCGTTGATTTTTAATCTAACTTTGATTCACATTGTGTTAATATTGTAGGAATTGTATGTATCCGATTTCATTTTAATTAGTTTAGAGGTTCTTGCTTGGAATATTTAGATAATTTGTGATTCTTTAGATTCTAGTGACTTGGAAGCGTGTTCAGATTAGCTGATCATGGGTCGAATAGGGTGGGAATACCAAAAATAAATTTTTAGTCTTTTCCCATTTCTAATTCATTTATTAATGAAAATTATTAAAAATGTGATAATTTATGAATTTATAAAGGGATTCTCTTCTCTATTTTAATCATAATACTTTTTATTTTTTAATAATTTGTTGTGATGTAATACTCAATGATGGACTAAAACTGTCATAAATTATACTTTGTATATATCTTTGAATTGCAATATTCCGGTGAATGGAGATTCATAAGCGTTACACTTACATCATCGCTCATAACTGATTCAGATAATGCTTGTTGAATTGTGATCTGCATTCCTTATTGTTGTGATGTTGATCTAGTTCTGATGTTATTTCAGCTGGTGATACAATATGGAAGATGGTGAGGATATTCAACCACTTGTCTGCAATAATGGAACCGGAATGGTCATGGTATCATTTTACTTTCATCTTTTTCTAAGGGTTTGTCTTTAGATTTATGCATAATTTCCCCCCTAATGATTCATTTTGTTCTAGGCTGGATTTTCTGGTGATGATGCTCCAAGGGCCGCCTTCCCTAGCATTGTGGGTCGTCCACGTCACACTGGTGTGATGGTTGGGATGGGACAGAAAGATGCATATGTTGGGGATGAAGCTCAGTCCAAGCGTGGTATTCTGACACTTAAATACCCTATTGAACATGGTATAGTTAACAACTGGGATGATATGGAAAAGATTTTGGCATCATACCTTCTACAATGAACTTCGTGTGGCTCCAGAGGAACACCCAATTCTTCTCACTGAGGCACCACTCAACCCGAAACGAGAAAATGACCCAAATTATGTTTGAGACTTTCAATGCTCCGGCAATGTATGTTGCTATCCAGGCTGTTCTATCACTCTATGCCAGTGGTTGTACAACTGGTAAGCCAATGAGTGCACATGACCTCATGGATAAAATTTGAGCTAAACCATCTCAAATTCAAATTTACACTTCGGTTTGTTTTTAGATTAATTAGGGAAAATTGGTTGCTATTTTTCCCCATTGGCTCTTCCTATCCATGTTTTGATTTAATGATTTTCATAATGATCATAACGTCTTACTGATCTAATGCCTAAAGAACTCTGCTTATTTTTCATGTGCTAACTGTTCTCCACGATACTGTATGTAGGTATTGTTCTGGACTCTGGAGATGCTGTGAGCCATACTGTCCCTATTTATGCTCTGATGAAAATCTTGACTGAGCGTGGTTATTCATTCACAACAACAGCTGAGCGTGAAATTGTGAGGGATGTAAAAGAGAAGTTGGCTTATATTGCACTTGATTTTGAGCAAGGTGATCACCATTGGCTCTGAGCGTTTCCGATGCCCGGAAGTCCTTTTCCAGCCTTCCATGATAGGGACGGAAGCTGCTGGCATTTACGAAACCACTTATAATTCTATCATGAAGTGCAACGTAGATATCAGGAAGGATTTGTATGGAAACATTGTTCTCAGCGGTGGAACTACCATGTTCCCAGGAATTGCAGACAGAATGAGCAAAGAAATCACTGCCTTAGCCCAAAGCAGCATGAAAATTAAGGTGGTGGCTCCACCTAGAGCTGGGTATACGGGCTACCCGCCCGTGTAGCCTGCGGGTTTTGAAGGTACGGGCTTAAACGGAACGGTTTAAAAAGCCCTCAATCATAAACGGTCTTGAATTCTAAGGCCCTTGGCCCGTCCATTTAACCAGCGGGCTAAACGGGCTTATCCGTTTACTGTTTACTGTTTATGTGAGAGAGAAGTTGGGGAGATAGAGAGAAACGGCGGAGAAGGGAAACAAAAAAAAAATGAGGCTATGGTTTCTAAAATTTTATAACTGCGTATATATAATATAAGTTACACAAAACAACGGATTTTAGGGATTTAGGTCAACCATGACAAATTTTAATGTGCTAATCATGTAAGGGCTACACCCACTTTTGAATTAATGCAATATAATCCTCAAATATAGTTTATTATTTTAATTTTGCATTCTAAATTTATGTATGTTTTTTTATCACTGCCTCAAGTTTTATATATTATTTGCATATTTGCGTATTATGTTACTTTACCTTTTTGTTTATTATATTTATACATGGTTTAATACTTTGATTTGTTTTTTTTTCTGTTTTTTAACGTATATGTATATAGTTTTTCTTATCGTTTCTAATCTTAGCTATAGCATGCATCTTTCGCGGTACTAATGACATTTACATATCGTGGTCGGAGTGCAGATGTGGATTGCTAAGGCAGAGTGCATAGGAAGTGCTTCTAGTTCTTCAGAATGCAAGAAAAGCTGTTCAGCTCTCAAGATTTTGATATATTGTTGTTTCTCTTAATTTTTCTGTTTTTCTCCTTATTTTCTTAATGTTCATGTTGTTGAAACAGTGTGAGACAATGGACGATAGAGTTCAAATTGGTTAATTTTATTTTTCCCTCGGCAGTTGTTGAACATTCAATTTCCTGCTGGTGTATTCGTGGTTACTGTCTATTCTCATTCTTTTCGATTTTAAATCTCAGACTACAACTAGAAAAAAGCACTCAAACTTGTTCAGTTGAAGTCGATTTTAATTGGTAAATTTTGAGCTCAGTTCCCTTGCTTGAATATTTGTGAGTTTAGGATTTAGTTTTGAATTTTTTACTGTCTATTTCCATTCTTATATTCTTTTTTTTTTTAGAATTTTGGCCTCCAACGTTTCACTTTGGATCAAAAAGCTCCCTCTATATATGAAAAGTATTAATTAACACACGATTAATACTTTAAAATAGTAGTATTTTTAACCTAAAATGAAAAGTTGATGGCTAAAATACCATAGAAAAAAGAATAAGGGACCAAGTGATTATTCTGTAAAATTTTAGGGGTCTTTTTGTCCTAAAATAAAATATTGGAGGCCAAAATGCTCCAAAAACTAGAATAGAGGACAAAATGATCATTTTGGTAAATATTGAGAGTTAATTTAGCATTAAAAATCTTTTAATTTAACCACTTCATAACTCCGTCACAAAATTAACGACAGAGTAAAAAAATCAATTTATAAAGTTGAGTGATTGAATTAAAATTTTAAAAAAATACAATGAATAAAATAAGAATGATAAAAAACCAGTTATTAAATTGATAATTTACCCTAAATAGTATTAAGATGTGTGTCATCATCTAATACCACGTGTTAAGCTAGATTCAAAAGGGATTGGAGAGATCTACTATGTTAGGGGATGATTATTTTCTCCGTCGGGTTTGGACGCATAATATTGTCAAATTATTAAAATTATTTTAAATAAATATTATTTTATAATTATCAAATATTAATAAAAAAATTATAATATCAATTAATACCATATTTAATTTAAACACCATTTAAATTAATTTATATAATGTCTAAAATAGATATTTTATTTCTTAAAAATATTGTTTGATATTTTATTTCTTAAAAACACTTTGATAGTAATAACAAAGACTTCCCTTGCCCTCGTTAATTTATGATTGCAAAACAGCTCCAATTACGATTAGGCTTCTAGCTTAGTATTAAATAATCAGTCGCTATATGTTAATTGTTCATTATTTTGTCTCGATTATAATGCGATTTTTCAAACTCCAAACTCTTACTGCCAGATTGTCCCTCTCAACATTCCCAGTAACTGCTACAAAAAGATGCAAAATGATACCCAAATCTAATAGCAACACCTTCAAAGAACAAGCAATTGTCCATGACAATCTTATACTAGTATCTGATGCCCAACACAGGAGATTGAACACCTCCTCAGCCTTATTCACAGGGCAATTCAACACAAGACATAAAATACCTCTGCAAATTCTTTTGCTTCTTTTTGTTCTTGTTTCAAAGAAAAGTTTACATGTTCGAAATATCACGCACCATAACAGATAACTTATAGAATCTTGTCCACCAGAACATCAACAACTTCTAGCGCAAACATTATACCCACTCCTTTGAATCCCTGCAAAATTGACAAAAAGCACAATTTAAGATGTTATCCCTTTCAAAAGTGGCACAATCTCGGTTTTGAAGGAATGAGTCACAACTCATCGCCAAATAAATCACGTCATAAACAATATGATTGAAGATTTTTCAGCCATCGACCTTACCTGGCAAGAAAGATGCTTAATAGGTATTTAACAAGCAAAATGAAAAGTAACACACGTTGATCTATAAATTTTACCAAAGAATTCCATTGAAGAAAAGGAAGAAGTGATATATTCCACATTATTTGATGCAAGAGAGGTTTCCAAGCAAAGGATAGCTAGAAAATTAGGGACAATATACAAATAAAAGTAGCTCTACAAGGATCTAGTGATGTGGGACTGATGGCATTGAGTTATTGATGTTTCCAAAGCCAATACAAAGATAAATTTGGAGGTCATTCAAGGGAAAATGAAAACCCAAGTAATTCAATCCCTTTCAACATCTTGCAAGGCAAAGCTCATACCTCCTCAGTCCTCACTTGAGACCTTCCCAACTGAAACGTTCACATTAATCGTTTGATATCAGTAAAAGTAGTAAAGCCTCGATCAAACACTGTTTTCTTCATCTCTTCTACTTACTAATTTGTTGACATACATGTTTTGGTGTTCCAACATAAAAATATAGATTATACCAAAATTGATGAGCAACTTTGAAATCATTCATGCAAAAAACCCCACCATTGAACCTATAGCACTGAAAATACCTTTATCGAGTTCATCTTAAACCAGGCCCAATATCGGTAACTTTTGGAAGCAAACAATCACTTGGAAGAAACCAAAAAACCACAGGAAAAACTAGATAAAAGCAAGTTCCAAATGCACCTTTATATGTTATGTAGTTAACTAGATAGAATATTAAATGTAAACATAGTGCAGGGGTAATACAGACGAAATCATCAAAAGTTTTGAGGACTGATGAACAAGTATTACCTTTTTTAACAAGCCTCTACTCATCGTCTTCATGATGGCGTTTCCTGCTCCTTTTCTCAGACCTCTTTGCACGCCTTCCAACCCGTGAATCATCGGAACCACTAACATCAGAACCGGAGGGAGATTCATGCCTATGGCTGTTTCTCCTATGCCGTTTACCAGAACCGTCTGATACATCTGAATCTGATGATTCAGAATCATCAGAATGCCTATGACTTCTTCTTCTCCTCTTCTCCTTCCTACTCTTTCTTTTCCTGTGACGACGATGATCATTCTCCTCATCTGAAGATTCATCCCTCTTCTTTCTCTTCTCTTTCCTCCTCTTCCTCTTACCTTCATCCTCGTCATACGAATCACTAATTCCTCCCTTCCTACTACTCCTTTTCTTTGACCTCCCTCTCTTCCTTTTCTCCCCATGATCTGAATCCGAACTATCATCCTCATCACTCTTCTTCTTCTTCTTTGAAGACTTCCTCCCTTTCCTAGTAATCTTCTGCCCAGATCTTTCAGCAATAATCCTCTCAATCTCCGAATCCACAGCAGAATCCGAATCCTCACTCTCCTCGTCCTCGTCCTCACTCTCTACCTTCTTCCCATTCACTTTCCCTCCTTTCAACTTATCCAGTCCATTAAGAACCGCAGCCTGGATCGCTTCAGGATCTTTCTCCTTCAAACTTACCAAGTTTTTACACTGAAAAGTAAGGTGCCCAACACGCCCACATTTTTTACAAGCTCCACGAGCCTCATCGGCGTTTGAACCAGTGATTCGAGCAAGGGCTAAAAGCCCTTGAAAGCTAGCATATGCGTTTTCACCATCAGGATCAGCAGCGGCAGTCATCGGAGTCGATGAATTTTTGGCATCATCTTTATTAGGCGCATAAGGGTCATACCCAATTGCACTTTGCCAGATCCCGTGGGTTTGTAAGGCGGCGCTACTATGCACCCGGTTGTTCGCCGGCATGCGAACCCTCCCTGCGGTGGCCGGCATCTTAAAGCGATTATGATAATACCCTAATTGATGGAATCAAGGGTTCCTTCTGATGTTAATAGGGAAATTGAACTTCAACTTGTGAAACAGAAAAACACACAAACGTTAGTGTTTCAAATTAAAATTAGAAAAGTTTGAATAAATATAGAAATTGGGATTCTTACCTCAAACCTTTGGAATTGATAATCGAAGAGTTGGCGAAAGAGAGAGAGAGAGTTGGGATTTCGTTGAGGATGTTTCCAAAGCTAGGTTTGTTTCTTTATTCGTTTATTAGTTAATTTCATGGTTAAAATAACCCTGTAACGATTAAATTAGATTAAAAAATCGAATTTTAGTATTATAAATAAATTAAATTAAAAAAAATATTTTTATAATAAATTTTAATAATATTTAATTAACTAATAAATCAAATATTAATATTATAAAAAAATCAATAAGATAAATTGAAGTAAAGTAAAGAATAGGATTCTAAAAAGGGAAAAACATATATTTATTGGGATAAATTGCATCATTCGCTCAGGTTCTCACTCATATTTTAATCAATAAAATTTAAACATTTTTAATTTAATCACTTAATTTTCACATTACTTTAGTTTTAGTCACTATAATTTATTTTTTTAATAATTTTTTGTGTTGCTCTCCCGGTTCTTAGGACTTTGTCTTGACTAATTCGGATAAATTTGCGTCGCACACTTGACTTTGATAGGGTTAATCTCTCAAAGGAGATTTTTTGCATACACAATAACTCGAACTCATATTTAAACTTAATGATATTCTTTCTAAAGGTTATAAGTTTGAACAGTTGTGTCTGCAGGGTATGTGTGTGTTGTCAATATGTTAAGAAAATTCTAAATAGATACTATATTGTAGTCACCTTATACTATTAGAAAAAAAGTTTTTCTTAAAATGTTGAGTTTAAGAATGATTTTCAAACTAGTTCGTAGTGTTTTTGGTAAAATTAGATTTTGGTTAATATTAAAGGTAGTTTATGATATCTTTTTTTTTATTTTTTTTTATAAAATTATAACATGTCATTTTTATATTGAATTTGTTTGTCAAATAGAAGTGCACATTATTATAAGGAAGTTCACATATACACGTTCATTTGAAGTTAAAGAGAGACAATGCTCCCAATTGATAGAACAATTATAATGATAAAAAACAACATAAGTATTTGAGAAATTTTTTGTATTTGAATATTATGTAAGTAGTTTATTTAGTGATTTTTTTTAATTATTATTAAAGTTATATTTTAATTTATAAATTAAAGGATGGTGACGACTTATTACTCTTTTTTTAATATGATGACAATTAGGATAATATCATATATGTGACAACTTGCAAAGGCCAGGCTTAATTTTCCTTGGCATATCTTATTCTTACACAAAAGTTGCACCATTTCCTCAGTTTACATCTCTTCTATTGGCACAATATTTATTTTTATACAAGTTCTATGTATGTAAAACAAGGGTAGGTTTTGAAATTCAGATGAATTTGAAAAGCAAGCCTCCACGACCGGCGAAGAAAGGAGCAAAAACCAAAGACTCAACAGCCACGAGCTTGATGAGTATGTTGAGTGATGGACCAGAAGTGTCCTTGAGTGGATCTCCTATTGTGTCCCCTATCACTGCTGCCTTGTGACATTCCGAACCCTTTGGACCCAGTGACTTTGCATGTTCGCTGACACCCTCCTTTACACACACAATAACAATAATTCATGATTTTAACGAACTTTAGTATTTTAAGATAATTTAAATTTTTTAAAGAGACGACCAGTGACCACCCTCCTTTGGTCCATCTCCGAACACTTCCATCAACAAAGATTACAAATGCTACACAACTTGTGCATTACCTCATTGTATTTTTTGGCATTATCCCATGCTCCTCCTGTGTTTGAAGCTGAGATGGCAACCTGGACACCGGAAACTAGTGAGCCGGCTAGAACACCAGCGAGAGTTTCGACTCCGAGACGGGTTCCAACTATTAGTGGAGTAAGCATAACGAGCGCGCCAGGAGGGATCATTTCGCGGAGTGAGGCATCGGTTGAAATCTTGACACAATTTGCATAATCTGGTTTGACCCTGCCTTCCATTAGTCCTGGAATTGTTTTGAATTGCCGACGAACCTCTTCGACCATTCTCTTCTTTGTCATGGCTGAAAACCAGTAAGGGAGCATAGCTCCGACTATGAGCCCAATAAAAGCCTTAGGCGTCAATACATCAACGGAATTGATGCCTGCTCTGCTAACATAGGCACCAAATAAAACAAGAGAAACAAGGGCTGCCGATCCGATTGCAAAACCCTGAAATGAAAAGGGCACAACATGGCATTCTTTTCAGTGTTAGGACCAACAATGAATTGGAAGAAAAAGATCAATGAATTAACATAAATTTACCTTGCCAATAGCTGCAGTGGTGTTTCCTGCAGCATCTAAAGCATCGGTTCTTTCGCGTATCTTATGACTCATTCCAGCCATTTCTGCAATACCACCAGCATTGTCACTTATGGGGCCATAAGCATCAATTGCAAGGCCAGTAGCTATAGTACTGAGCATCCCCAAAGCGGCGACTGCGATTCCATACATTGCAGCCAGACGAAAGCTCACGTAAATTGCGATGGCAATGGCAAACATGGGAATGATGACAGATTTGTATCCCAGAGCCAACCCAAAAATCACATTTGTTGCAACTCCTGTCCTGCAAGCATCTGCCACATCCTGCACCGGACTGCAAAAATATTCGAAGAGGGTGATAATAATGGGAAATTATGAAAGATCCGAAGGCTTTCAATGAATTTAGTCTAATAATTACGACACCGAAGAAGACTCTGAAACATCCATACCTGTAAGCATTGCTAGTGTAATATTCTGTAATGTAACCAATAATAAGTCCAGCCCACAATCCAGTAGCAACACAGAAGAAAAGATGCCTGCATTATACATGATCAACAAGACTTCTTAAACAAAGCAAAGGGAAGACAACCTTCAAACGAAGAGAAAACAGTTTACAGGTTGCACACCAATTTTTCACTGCCTTTTCGGTTCCAAAATTGAACAGAGTGAATTCAGATGGCAATGCAAAGAAACTAACGACGGCAATCCCGGCAGTCATGAGATGGCGGAGATAAGGAGTTGTTGTTTCAAGTATGGTTCGATTTCACTTACATTCTTAATCTCAAACAGATCAGTTGCAAACAGTGTAGTTATCAAGCATACTGCAATTCCCATTGAGCTAATGAGCAAGGGATAAGACATTGCTTTGAACTCATGCCTGACGCCAAAGGATGATATAGATGCAACAAAAAGAGCTGCACATGATGATTCGGCATAAGATCTGAATAGATCAGATCCCATTCCGGCAATGTCTCCTACATTATCGCCCACATTATCAGCAATAACCTGTTTAAGTGCCGTGTTAGAGCTTGAGAAGTATCTACCATAGTTCTCATGAAGAAACCTAAAATATTCATCAAGTGTAAAAGGAACTATGGCAACTTACAGCAGGATTTCGTGGATCACCTTCAGGGATATTTTGTTCGACTTTACCGACAAGATCAGCACCAACATCGGCTGCTTTCGTATATATTCCTCCCCCAACTCTTCCAAAGAGGGCCATAGAAGAACCTCCAAGACCATAACCAGTAATAGACTCATAGAGTCCCTCCCAGTCATCACCGTAATACAGTTTAAACAGATTGATGGATACAAAGAGCACCAAAAGGCCATTGGCAGCAAGAAGAAAACCCATGACCGCTCCAGCGCGAAAAGCAGTTATAAATGCCTTGCCAACTCCTTTCCTTGCTTCTAGAGTTGTTCTGGCGTTGGCATAAGTTGCAATCTTCATCCCTAGAAAACCTGAAAGGACTGAAGTAAGATCCCCCAGCAAGAAAGCAACGGTACTAAAGAAGGCATTCGCCAGGGCCAGTTTGCAAGTATTTCCCTGGTTGTATGTGCACGGTTCACTTTTGGTGCTGAATCCCTTGACTGAACCAAGGAAGAGGAAAATGATTGCACCAAATACACCCATGAAGATACCTAGGCACTTGTATTCAGTATAGAGGAAGGAGGTTGCACCGGGAACATAGCCCTGACATTGTTAGTAGGAAAGCAACGGACGCTATGAATCAAAGTTCATGTGCAAAACACTGCAACAGAAATGGCATGTTGAATCTCAGCACGGTTGATGGACATCTCAAGATTCTTAACACCCTCCTCTTCTTCATCGGATTCGATCAGTTTTTGTTTATATCCATTGCTTGAATCATTTGATGCGAGTTTCACCCTGGAGACCAAAAACCATTGAAGCAAAGCAAAACCAATGCCCAACAAGGCAGCTACAAGTATCAGAATTTGGGTTGTCAAGGGACTCATCTCAACAGAAAACTCTTGGCAATCTCATTTTGTTTCTCGGCTTGTCCTAGCTAAAATATAGTAACAAAAAACTAGCATGTGATTTTAGAAGTATTGATTAAAAAGGCCGCTGTTCTCGAGAACTCAATGGAAAATATATGGACTGGTTGTTTTGAACGACAGATGGGACAAACTTATTAGATTCTTCTAAACCTTGGACTGTGTTTACCGGTTGTTTTGATTTGCAGTTTTGAGTTTTGTCACTAATCATTAACCAATGTGCTCCATTAACAAGTATTTAACTTCATGCTGTAAAGGTTTTGTCAGGCTGTGGATAAGTTTGGATAAAAAGAAGAATTTACAACGTAGGGAGATAAGATCAAAACAGTGGTATTTACTTGATCCTAGAAGAAATATTCATTTAAGAACTTTGCTTAACCATGATGTTTCACTTTCACGCATGACTAGCTTATTCATCCATTGGCAGTCAATGGCCATATAGAAATCGATGATAATAATGCAAGTCTAAAACATATGAAAGCACATGAAGAAGACCAATTAAGAACTTCATTTACTTTTCCATTTCCACGAAGCTTATTCAACCTTTAGTTGTCAATTGTTTGGAATTTACAGCTGCTATATTCTCCATCTGAATCTCACCTTTTAAAGTTCAATTGATATTTGAGAGCTAACCAAGAAATGTTTTTTGTTAATATTAGCAAAGGCCAGGCAACTAGTTTAGGTTCCACCTTTCTTTTTCACATATGTAAGCATTAGAAAACTTCACGTTAATAGTGCTTGCATACAAGACAATACCATGGGCTGATTTGCTTTTTATACCTTTGATGTTTCAGTCATTTTCAAGTGTTAAAAAAAGGATTGGTCCTTGCAAATACCAGTGATGAA